TATGGATGACGGTGACATATCCCCAAATATACATGGATAATTGCGCAAAAATGATGCTAACCACTTTGCACTTCCAAAGCAAAAAACATATGTAAATCAGCATTTTCACATTCGAAACAACTGAAAAAAAAACTCAAATGTTTTATAGAATGAACAATTAGTCCTATTTTTTCCTTTTATTTTGGTGTCACATTCTCTCTTTCTCTCTTCAGAAAAGACTTAAAAGTTACATTTCTCCATTTTGAAATATAGGAATAGTAACAGGCCAGACTTCGCAAAATTTCTCTTAGTTATAATTTGCAAAGTGCCCGGATATCCAGAGAAAGACGTGCAGAGCCATCACAAAGATGCGCAGACCACATAGTTTATCCTCATGATTAATATCAATCAACCACGAAATTATTAGTGACAAATTTTTTTACGGACTCAAATGGTATTTGTTACTTATATGAATCAAAAGAATGACGAAAAGTAAGATATGAAGAATAACAACTTATATATAGTATAATATTAAGTGGCTACAAACAAATTAACGAATACTTTAGAAAATTTAGAAAGGTTCCACTCCTATTTCTAAGGTAAGATCCGTTTCAAAATAGGAAGAACATTTGATTTCAAATCATCGTCATCATCATCATCGTCACCGTTCTTTCTCACTTTCTCTCTTTCCTCTTCATCAGCACCATAAGTATAACCCCGTGCCAGTCGATCATATCGATTTTCTTCATCATTAACACTGTACTGCTCAAGGAAAAATGCCTTTAGCAGCGCAGTTACACGCTCACCAGCTAATCCTCCAACACCTGCACTACTGATAACATCACCTACCGAAGAAACTAGCTGAACTTTAACTTCTGCTCCTGAAATTCAATGATTTTGGAAAGACTTTTTAATTGCTTTGCAAGACAAACATTTTAAAAAGCTTTGTATTGAAGATTCCATTAACAGCATTAACAGCGAAATGATCAAAGGGATTTATTTCGAATACAGCCGAATATCCGCGTACCTTAACATATATAGAAGGCTCGAAACCTTTATTTTATAATAAAGTATTCACGAACCTTGGATTAAACCTGTTTCCCGAATTTTCTCTTCCAAGGCATTTTTGAAAACAAACAGCTGCTTTCGCAGATCATCAAGATCATCGTGCAATAATGTTTCATCCCGTTCACTCTTTTTTGATGTTCTCTTTGATCGTAAATAACGCTATAAAAAATATCCAGTTGAATTCACATTCTCCTTCTCAAGCTTAATGGCAAGTGCACAATTAGTGACCTCAGTACCACTATTAATTTTCCTGGTTCAACTAGTAATGATTGAGACGTCATCACTATTGATGATCTTATATATTACTTGATATAAATATTAAAAGAGCCTCGGTGAAAACATTTCTCACACTGTTTTCTTTTTTTATTGTGCTATTTTCGATTAAACAGATTCCTGCATTAAACAGAGGATGTTTTCAAGTGTAAAAAACCTATATGAACTAAAATCACTCACCTCAACTTTTTTCCTCAAGTTTTTTCTTTTGGCTCTCTCAAGCATCCTCATCTGTGCAGCTTTTTCTTCTTTGCTCATGACATTTTGAGATCCCCCTCTTTTATCATTATCACCCGTTTCTGATAATAAAATTTACAAAAACTAATCATTTGCAAGTTACATAAAACATCGTATATCCAAGGTATTATATAAATATTCTACTTGGCAGTGAATACAAAAATTAAGCAGTTTCAAATCAAGTATTACATGAACTTGTGTAAACAAACAAACCTTCAGTTGTCTGCCAATTTTCAATTTTGAAAGTCTCTGTATAGAAAAGATGAGCATTTTCAGAATTCAAATCTAAATAAAAACAGATCAAAACAATGCATTTTAACTATAATTATAATTCCACTAATCCTGATACTCAAAAAATTATACTTTCAATTTACTCTAAAATTGTCCACAAAATCATTCCTGTAGTAGTCTAAAGATGTTCAGAGAAAAGACATATCCAAAGTAATAATGGATATTGAAATTATCGTAATTCACATGAATGTTACCTTCAATTCGGGCGGGAGATATATTTGAATTTTCAAACAACTTAAACATCTCGGCCGAAACATACTTCATGAAATTATCTAACTTTTTATCGTGACGCAACACCGCACGATTGTAGCTTTGCTAAAACTATTTAATTTATAAAGAAGAAAAAATAAGTATTTCTACATTTTCAAAGTTTAGAACTCCAAATAATCAGCAAAATCTAGTAATAATTTTGGGGACAATTCAATCATTGAGTTATTAGAGGCAAACAAAATCTACAAACTGATGTCGAACAGAATAAAATTATTCAGAGAAACCAAAACTCAAATGAAAATATTTTGTTTATCAGTTTTTCCAAATGTGATCGCAGTTGCAATGACTTTAAATCGCTGTTATTCGCTGTTATAACAACGAGCTAGTTATAATCTGAGTTATCAGGAATTTACTGCAGCACAACTCTCGCACTTCACTGAGAATATAAAACAAAAAAATACCATAAATTTCAGAAACATTTTCTCGACCGAAATATAACTGAGTTTCCGGTCAAAATTATAATCACTTCCGCCATTTATTAACTGAAATAAAGAACAGGGAAAATTCAGCGTAAAAACATTGACCATAAAGATATTCACTAAACAAACTACTCTTGTGATCAGTGCTTTACACTTGATACTGAAATCGGAATCCAATACTCTACAGCAAAATACTACAAATGAATAAAATACGAAATGAGATATGAATGTGGCTTAATTACAATGCTAGTTTGAGTATGAATTAAATAAATGGATATATAAGCAATTTTAGAGGATTAAAAACAAACCAATGTGCGAACAGAGAGAAGCTGCCGAGCAACATGGGACATTAGATCTTCTGCTGCAAATTCTATCCCTCGATTGAGCAATTTCAATACTTTGTATTCAAAGAGCTGCAATATCTCAAGCTGCTTCTCAGCATTAGTCCACATTGCTGCTAGAAGTGGATTTTCTGCATCGTCCACATCATTTATAATATCTGGGAAAATACCTTCATGGAAAGCTTTCCTTAACGAACCAATCATTATACTCAGATGTGTCTCTGTTACCAATTTTTCATCGATATCGTGCAAAAATTTTGAAAACGACATTTTTTTCTCGTCATATTCCTCATCTATTTTTTTCAAGAACGACGACATCTGAAAATCAAACACTAGACTTTAATTTGTCATTGTTATCTAAACAAACAGCACGTTATTTTTGCTTTAATCATTTCATGATGTTTGCTGCTAACTCGGCTTCGCCAAATAAAAAACCATGAATAGTGCTATTCAATTATATATCCAGTGGAGAGTTAGGCTTGTAAAATCATTAAAGATCTTCACTGCCTGTACATGAAACTGATTGATATAGTCAATGCAGAATATAATATAAACATACCGTCAGATAATAATTATTTATAGCGCGTGAGTAAGCAAGAGTAACGGGAAAAAATTTACGATTCCAATAAGGATCTTTGAAGTACCAATATATATTCCCGCGATCTTCATCCGCTTCGGTGATGTAACGGGCTGAAATTATAGTAAAAACAGCCCGTTGGCAGGTGAATTTATTCTACATTATCAATCATTTTTCTTAAATCATGTAACTGCATCGAAGATGTTAACGTCTTATATATAGATTTTCAGCCTACTATTAATATAATAATCAACATTAGCTATTTCCTAAATAAGCTCAATTTTTGCAGTATTTAATAATACCAATTCTGTATTATTAATAATTTTTTCTCGCATGAAGTATGCTTTCCGACAATCAAGGGGCTGCTTCACTTATCTTAAGGGTTTCTAGGAGAGATTTATAATGTAACTTGCCAAACCATTTTGTTTATTCCATCGAATAGGTTGTATACCATTGATGAAATGTGCCCCCCTGAATAAGAATTTTTAATGAACTCACTTTCCATCTCATGTAAGTCGTCGTATATAAAGTGTATATCTGCTTTCATCTTCGTAGCTGGAAGAAAAAAGTTGCTAATTGTTAATATTGTCAGGTTGATTAAAAAACATCTTTATAGTAACGAAAATGAATGCCGATTACTTAGCTCATCATTTGACCAATTAAAAATGTATCTTACGGTCGACATTCAGCTTTGCGATTGATTTCATTATATCCTCATACATTATTTTGAGTTCTTTCTCCGTCGCTTCCATTTCCTTTATACTGCTTGCTGTTCGTTTTGCCAGCTGTTTCCTCGCATATCTCTGTCGCTGAATGCTATCTGCTCGTGCTGCAAGAAGTTCCGATTCTTTCTTAGCTTCTTCCTATAAAAATCATTGATTCCATAATGACACGCTAATAGACTCCATATGATTATGATTGGTTAAAATTACAAAATAGCCAACAGCTTCAGAGAACAGAGACAATGACTAGCAGAACAGAAAGAGAAAACGGCAAAAACGACATCATGCGAATTTAAGATTTTTCAGCTACAGCTATTTGCAATAATAATCAAAGCTTGAACCGCTTTGAAATATTCCTCACCACAACACCATTGGAAAATGAATTGTGGTACCCTGATTTAATATTCACAGCGGATTCATGGATGGAGTATTCTTTAAGTTAATTTACAATAGTTTAAACGAAATACACCTATTACTGCATACAATTCACCATAATTAAAAAATTTTGGAACTTTTGGACTGAAAATATAATTACCATTACATCTGGACTCCTAACGAATTTATCTTACCAATTTCCAGGTGCAGACTACTTTGAAGGAATAAGTAAATGAAAAGAAAGATCAATTTTCTCACTATACGATAATTACTTGCACAACTTAAACGCAATCTTAAACAAAATTATCCATTTATCAAACATTCACTCGTTAATCAGAGTGAACAAATTAAAAAAGTAGTTACAGAAAAACATAAAACTTACTAAGTGAAGAAATCAAATATCCAAATTAAAACAAACAGTGTTAAACAATGACTTCTTATCAAAATTTTATAAGTCTGTTACTATGCTGCAAAAATGCGCATTTATGATGCTGGAGAATTTTTATTTAGTATTTTCTGCCTAAAAAATATTACCAAGGTCTTATAACTGCATAAAAACATAGTGTTGTATAACTCATATCTTGTGTTAATATAATTGCCCCATTTCAGAAAAAACTGCAGTTTTTGTGTTCTACTTTGCGTTTTTAGTTTGCACTTAGATGAGTAACAAGGAATGTTTCAATTAACTGCTAAACGACAAAAATATAGGTTTGTAACAAACTTTTTGTCGCTTTTGTTCAGCTACGTTTTCGAGATATTGTTCAACACCTTTCTGCTCCAGTAGTGGACGACATATGATTGACAAAGGTTCACGCGGCTTGTTTTGACTTGAAAAGACATCCAACTTGCAAAGTGACCCTGTTTTCACTTTTATAATATATTCACATGAGGATGGCTCATCAACATCAGCGATGTACGCTTCGCTTGTCGATAACATATCATCACATATATACTGAAAGGAAACAAAAAAATTTCGGTCCCGAAATTTTGTTGCTCACAGATGAAAGTCGAACTGTGTCGGATCTCTCCATTCTAAAAAAAATGTATAAAAATATTGTGAAAATCAATACACGACTTCCGCGTTCTTCATTTTCATCAATAATTAATGCTTTATTGAATGCTATATCTTAAAAAAACCAAAGAAAAAAGAATACGGAGATTCTTGAAACTCGAGACATGAAATATCGAATTCTATCAATTCTAATCGCATACGAAGAAATTAGGAGGAAGACATAATATAATATCAAATGATCAATGTGAGCTAGTTCACTGAAAATGCAAAAAAATATTGAGTGCTACGTACCCACACACGTGCAAGTCTCGATTTGTCTGTCACATCGCAAACTGTTCCATCATCATAAATTTGTTCGAAATAAGGTAGCTCTTCACTTTTGTGTCTTGATAAATTTATATCCGAGTTGTTTTTATAATGTCCTAAGGAAATAATCTTGCCAACAATTTTTGAGCCTGAAAATGCATGTAATATTGCAAGATTTCCATATTTTAATGGTTAAAAAAAAAGTGAAGTAAAAATCTTTCCATTTTAATTGTATTTCAATTCTCACCTTCAAGACGGAATTGCTGCACATGTTTGTTATAGCAAAGTTCGTATGTCCACCATCCTGTATTCTACAAATTTTTTTTTTTTATTTTATAAAATGCAACATCGCAATAACTGGGATAAGTGAACTCAAATACAAACACTATGAAATGTTAACGTACTATTTATAGTATTTTTTCAAAGATTTAAGATTAACTAGCAAAGGAGCATAAAACGTAGTGGTAAGTTAATTCCTTCAAAATTATTATTGTTAGTGACCATTTTATACAATCATAAATCAAAAATTACATATAACTATAAAAAATTCATAGATTATTGAGAGTTTGATAAACGGGTGAAATTAAAGAAAATGATTGGAGCACTGCAACCGACTTTTTTCAAAGGCTCTCATACAGCTGTATGAATGCATGTAGCAGCAATAACTGGATAATGCTGCTACATACACTCATATACAGCTATATGTGAGTCTTTTAACAACGAAACCTTACAAATTCCAGTTCTACAACAAATTTTTTTCAATGTACTTACCTTTCGAATGCAATTCTGTACATAAAAGCTTGCTGCTATAACATCAGAAATCAAATTCACCGTTAAATTTGATTGCGATTCATCATTTGCTTTTGTTAATGGAATTTTGGGCAAGGAACAGATGAATTTTTGTCCAAATTCACTAACAACAACAGTTGCGTTCTTATCGTCCACATCGTATATCCCCTAAAAAGTGGACGTGCTGTGTATACTGATATTACTCCATATCATTTCATATTTTTCAATGGACTGATATGTATTCTCTAATATTTTATATATAGTTAGGAATTTATGGAACTTGATTATCTTAGAATAATCTAACTATAATTTTTGAATTTTCTTCACTTTATGAAAATTTCAAACTAATTACCAGTAATGTATTCTTCGGCATCTTTTCCTCTAATGTTACACTATCCAATTCTAAACTTTCAAATCCGAAAGGAATTTCAGCGATTTCGAGATCATACACGACATTTTGCAATTCATTCGTATTATAAACCGCATAACAACATGTGATGAATATCAACAGGGAACAAGAAAGTTGATATACTATCTCGTCGTGCCACATAACGTACCAGACATGAGCCTTAACAATAATACAAAATTATCATAGATTGGTTAAAAAGATAAAATCTTTTTCCCCATCAAGAACATTTTTAATCCATATCAGTAATTCAGTGATGTAAAATATACTTAATTAAAAATTACTTAAACCACCTGATATTAATATTTCACTATTTTAACAAATTCATTTCATATACTTCTTTTTCACGATGACTTAAACAATTAAAATAAATGGTACAGCAAATTAATTAAATCATAAAGCGAAATTAGTGTTCAGTAAATAAATATATCTCTGCATGAAGTTATTTTAGGAAATATGCATAACATATATGTGTGAAGATTAAAGATCAAAATGTAAACATCAGTGATAAGATAGAGATTAAAAATTAGAGTGGAACATATGTGCACAAGTTAGCTTTATCTCATTCATTTATCTGTATGCTAATTAAATGCAGTAGGAATAAACGGCTAAGTGTAAATTAACTTATGATATGCCAAAAACACTAATATCGACTTCTTTTTCTCGACTATTGGGAGAGTCCTCTCTAATTCCTCCTGTACAAACAAATCACTGCAGTATTTCGAGTATAAATAACGACAAAAAAAACCAATCCATTTGAAATCTAGCTAAATGACTTCCGCTAATTACACCCTCTACTAAATCACATATCAGCGAAAGACGGGAATGGCAGAGAGATGAGGTCATCATGAAAAATGCCATCCTCTCTTGAATACTGCTAAGTGATAGGACCACACCAAACATTTAGGTGAATTTTTTTGAATAAAGAATTCCTGAATAGTCCAGAAAATGGCCTTCAATAGGGATTCTTGAATAATCGTTTAATAATCAATCAAATATTGATCCGACCGTTTATTATTTTCTTCAATTTTACAATGATCTTTTAATAGATCTACATCTTGTCCATATCATAGTGCTTTGGGTAGCTTTAGATATGAAGGGCTTCAAGGACAGGCAGAATTCAGGTCAATTTATAGTTGAAGCTAACAAAAGCTTGCTTAGAATTAATATTACAAGATTTTATATGACTTAGTATAATATAATATTCACTTACTATTTAACAAGTATTCATTTCGCACACGAAGGACTACATACTTTTAAGTTATGTAATCCAATTAAAAATACATTAATTAGTAACAGCCAAAAACTGTTCCGTCTCAGTCATTATTTTTTCCTAGTCTCAAGAAACTCTGAGTAGCCTTGTTAGCATAATAGATTAAATATAATAGTTTAGTAGCATAGAACTGTAAAAAATCCATATGACTATGTTCAACAATGATGTTTTGTCAAGACAGAAAGACAAAAATTAAAAAAATTAAGTCCAAATGAATTCTCAGTTTTGGATCTACTTTACAGACCTTCTCCAGTATACGTTATCAACAAATGAAATGCTGCCTTGAATGATGGATACCTCATTAATTTCCAGAATTCATTACTATTTCTCAACCAGTAGTATGCAGTAGGATGTACCTTCTACAAAAAACTTCTCGGTCGTCCTAAAAGTTTCCACTTTAGTTCAGTTTTCAGAACTTTCTCCTATTAATGTTTTCTCGGAGAGTGTAGGAATGCTCGGTAACAAAACAATTTTTATTATCAAGATTTATTCTCAAAGTAATTTTTCAGCTGTACCAAGGCCTTACTTCTATGACTGATTGTATTTTTTATCGCAGAGCTCATTTCTGCGTATGTTTGCGAGAAACCTTCCGGTTCAAAACATGGATCCCAACCAAAATTCGTCTCTCCTCTCGGTTCAACTATTCTTCCATTCGTTCTTCCTATATGAAAAATGTCTTTGATAATGTGCAATACAATAATGTGATAAATTCTCTAAGGACTGTTCTGATTTTACATTAAGTGACCTTAAGAAAGTAAAGTATACTGCCTTACACTACAAAGAACTAAGATGTAAAATTAAGATTGACAGCAACATAAACTATATTATTTCCTGTCAAATGCTAACTAGCAATGCTGGCGCTTACATTAGTAGAATCACATGTCAACTTTCAGCGAAATATACCAAACATAAAACGAGATGTTACAAGTCATTTTTTTAATTGATCCAATCTTTTAAAAAAAAAAAACCGATGTGAAATTGTTCATAAAAACTCACCTTCGAAAAGAAGAACAGGTGTAGATGAGTTTTTGCAATACGCAAATATACACTGTGCATACGCCGTCTTATCTTCAAAACCGGCTAATAATCTACAGAGACCGTCAGGTTTCAAATTCTTAAGAAACCTGTAATAAGCATTACTGAATCTCTCTCGAGAATGAAGTGACACAAATGAAAAAGTAAATGCACTACACCTTAAACATATAATCTTATCGAAGGGTCAAAAAATATACCACTTAATGTATGGTCCAGGTAGACCTCCAAGCGCATTAAAACACAAACAAGTATCTTCAACTATTACGGGCCGTTGTAATCGTTGTGAGGCTGCTAAACATTTAAGTCTGGCTATTTCACACGGTTCTCCTTGATATTCCGGTAAATCGATGTCCTCATTCTCGATCTGAAACACCAAATAAAATAGCATTTCATCTTAAACATTTTTCAACTTCACATTTTATGGCCAAGTCGCACTTGTGAGCATTCGATAATCTTGGAAAGATGTGACAGCACTTCCCTACGATCCAGTAAAATAGATATATGAGACAAATTTTTAAAAGAAAGATAATTTATTCCAAAACATTGTCAAGCTTTTATTCAAGAACAAAATTAACAATAAAAGAAAAATATTCATACGGTAATTTCCTAGATAGAAATAGGGGATATGTAGCACTGAATTTAATGCTTGCAGAAGAGATAAAGTATATCAGATACACAAATTATATGGTCAGATAAGTAAATGGTTTGCAAGCCTACATATCTTTTGTTTCTTCTGAAGCAAAATTTTGATCATTTCTTAATCTTTCTATTTAGAAAAAAGCATTTTACACCTCTTCTAAGAACGCCAATTTCTTGTTTTTCCTGTTCATAACATTTTAGCATTCAGTCATCAAACATATTACGTTATCATGCAGTTAAACACATTAAATTTATCTATTATAATAAAATCAAAAAAATATTCATAATATACTTTGAAAGAAAAATACAATATGAAAAATCGTTATCGCAATGGTCATGTCGCTATAACAATAGCAAAAAAAAAGGGTTATATGCTTTAGCAATCGAGCAAAATCTAAACTTCAATCGTATTTTATCTTATACTTTGGATCCCTATCTATCAGGAATCTATGAGCAGTCGCACGTAGGATTCGCCGACAGCGAAACCGATCGAAAAAGGTGGATGTTCTTGAAACAGGACGATAAGCTAAAGAAACTGCTGAGATGTGATTCTTACGACCAAAGAGCGGATCTTTTTCCGGAGCAGGGGAAAAAATGACTCGATGGACTCCTCTTCCGGGAAACGCTGAATCATTTCTTTTACACTTCCTTTCTCTGTCACAAAATAATTTCGAAGTCGGCTTCCACACCGGAACTTCTCTGATTTTCGACGTTTCCCAGCGGCATTCAGACACACCCTCTTCTTTGTCGAATAACGTTGAAAGCAAGGAATTTTCTTTCCCGATAAATTTTGCAGAATCCTGAGAGGGACACAATTTATCTTTCATATAAAATGATTCGCATTGACAACTCACAGGTCGTATTTTATCATCATCATCATCATCATCACTAATGAGTACTTTTGATAATGATGAAGAGGGAACACTCTGTTCATTTTCTATATTAAGCACAGTTTCCGTATTGGTACCGCTCTTGTAGAATTCGTCAGCGAGCAAACCATAACGCATTGGCGCTATGTCACGAACTAATTCAGGGACAGTAACCAATAATCCAGAACTCCTTGATGTTTCACTTAAACAGCCAGGATTGTCGAATAGTTTTCCAACATTTCCAAATGATGAACTGCTCTCCATCCTATTGGAATTCCACTCCGACAAAATTCCTCCCACTTTTCCTAAAACCTATCTGTAACATTTTGTTACAATCTTGCAGCTCTATAAATGATGCAAAAATCAGCCATGCAATAAAACCATTACCGTGAATCGATCTCCAAGGATAGCGCGCACTTCTTTTATTTTATTCACGTTCCCAGTAACGAATAGCAACGTCTGCATAAGTCTAAATATCCGGATAAATATCATTATTGGAAATATAGTTCCGCACAAACACAAGCTAATAAGCTTATACTTCATATCCATTGAATTTTGGTCAGCAAATCAGTTCGGATGATATACAAACATTAAAAAATTATCCAACATTTCTTCTATTTCGCTGACAGTTTCAAAATGTTAACTATACGATGTTTTGTTCCCTTCATATGATTTGCATAAAAGACGTACATCGAAGTGGAATTATTAAATTATTTTCATACATGACAAAGAGGAAAAAAGTAATGATGTTTAGGATTAAATATTGAGCCATAAAAAATAATCCTCCAACACTCAAATGGCAGTTTTATTATACATTAATAAATAATAAATCATTAACAATAAAATGATAAGACATGTTAAAAAAGTCACCGCAGAAATAAAATCAATGGACAAACATATTATACTAGACAATATTCTAATGTCAAACATGATATTAACACAATATCCTGCTATAATATTTCATGGTCAGAAGTAATATCAATAATATAATAAAATTATTATCTTTGCAATAAGTGTGATTGGTGATTTTGGAGATTTTTTGTGGATTTACATTCGTCCAACTTCCCTCAATAGGGTTGAAGTTTTCGACATTGGATTAAGGTGCAAGATCATAACTAAGATCGTGTTCCAATGACTTTAGTGAAAAATGATTCTCAAAGATGTTAACACTACAAGAAGTTAAGACCAGCACCCATCTGGAAAGATGGCGTACACTGATCACCTGACATATATTTCAGCGGAATAACATAATTCAGCTCAACCCGAACAAAATTTTTGATTAAAAATGTTAGCCCCAATCCAGCACTAATACGTAGAGCATCTGACATATCACGAAGTCGATGTCGAGAATCAGCCGACGCTACAGCTCCTCCAGCAACGAATGAATGTGCAAACAACATTTCTGGTGGGAAAAGTGGCCTAAAATAATATATTTCAAAGAAATGTTCAATTATAAAAGAAAGAAGAGAGATACAATTTCAATGGTTCTTATAATCCTTACGTTCAAGATTCAAAAAATGAACCCCTAAAGTCCTAAACATTAAACAAGCCACACATAAACTACACACTAATAGTGATAATAGTTCCTTTTTCTTGCCTCTGCTTTTCTTCCTTTTGCTTTCTTTTGATTTTTATTCTTCAGTGATATTTTTTGGACCGGAAACATCTTCTAACAGGATAAAAAAAATAATTTCCAGCATGTTGCACTTATTTACTTTCAATAGGTTCTTCTAGGTTCTTCAATGGGTTTCTCAATCAAAATGGTTACACTGCAACGCTACATGTCCCTTAGATGACAAATCGTGGAAACGCATATGGCAGTGTTCACAGATAAGCATATAAAAGCTATGGTAAGCTTTATATGGCATCTTTGTCGATCCATAAGGCAATATATACATAGTAGCGGTGAAAAATATTTTATCAGATATTCTTCTATTATTGCAACATGCAAACAGCAAACAGTGATCACATACCTGTAAATATGCAAAACTCCAATGGCAGAAGTAGCTCCTCCAACGCATGAGAAACCGTCGGCTCGTCCTCCTATTGTATTCCAGCCAAATCCACGAACATCATGAGGTCCACCAATATACAAACGATCCAGTAGATGCAATGAGCGGTGAACGGCTAATGTATTGATAATCGAAAACTGATATGAAGCACTCAAGAACATACCCATGAATAATGGCGTTGCTGCCTTAAAATTATCTTTGTGACAATGAAATGACAAGAAATGATTATGCGCAATTATTTGTATTAAATGTTATGAAAATGAAAATAACTAAATCAA